GTTTCACTTGGCAATCAATTTACATTATATTGTGAAAATTAATCTGAAGGGCAGGAATGAAAGCTAAAGCTAAGGAGAGAGAGAGACAGAGATAAAGTGGTGTTTAAAAGGGGTCTAAATTTATAAGCAGTCAGTTTATTGGAGAATGTTCTCATCCTGTGACAATCATCGCCTCCCCAGGCAATGACTGACCGGGGTGTCCCATAAAGAAAGTTTGGATTACAAGGTCTTCCCTCAAGTAGATGTGTGCTCTCCTTGGGATATTCAATGACTGGTATCTTAAAAAGCATCTTTTTATGAATCCCTTCGATGAAGAACCTTGAGCTTCTGAGATTAAAGCCACCTAACACCATACCTCCCCCGTGATGCTGAAGTGCACGAATGAGGTAGGAAGTTCTCCAGAATGGCAACACCCCTGCCAACGGACAGTCACCGTTGCTATGGGGGAATTCATTGCTACTTGATATTTTAAAAAAACTTCCAGCTTCTCCGGCCCCCTTGCTGGAAACTTGGATGGGATGGACCACTGGACTCAGGTTTAAAAACAGAATCAGTTCTCAGGAGAGTCTCAAAGACTCCAATCACTCTAAAATCTGATAAATTAGGTCTCTATCCTTTCTAACTCCTCTGGCCTTCTGCTTGCAGATGACTTCACTGCCAAGCCATCTGTTAACTGCAGTGATTAGTACCAAGCTATCAGAATAGTTTAAAGAAGAGGGAAATTAAGCAGCCTTTTAAAAAATATGTTTCAGAAACATCCTCTTCCTCTCATCTTTATAAACTGTTGACGGGAAGATTCACCAAAACTGAAGAGGACAAAGAGTCAGTTATGATCCCTTCTTCCGGGCCCCAGACACAGGCACTCATGCCTACGTACTTGAAGAGGTGTTACTGATTCTAGTTGACTTATAAGGATCAGGGACAAAGGACTTCCCTATCTTAATTGGGAAGTTCCCCCCAAAGACCATTCTCAATTTCTTTGTTGCATTTCATCAAGTTCCCCCAAAGTTACAGCCCCTCAAGTCACCCAAAAGAGGTGATTCTATCATTGGCCTGCTGTGGAGAACAGGCCCTCCCCCCCAACATACACCCCTCACAAAAAAAACATACACAGCTGCACGCATTCACAGGCGCACTCACGCACAGGCGCGCGCACCACACCACGGCGAGGTCAGCTCCCTCACTGAGAAGCCAGCCCTGATCTCTCCACGGAGGACCTGCCAGGTCAAAGGATATAAGAAAATCGTTTGTAGATGGTGGGTGACCGAGGCCCATTGTTAGGTTCCTTTGAAGTAACGGCACTTTGTCTTCAATCACCCAACACTCAGAGTGCCTGTCACTCCACTGTGAAATATTTATATGGGCAAGCAGTGGCAATAAAATCCCCGAGCCCTTTTGATTTCCAGGAGGAATTTATTTTAATGTACTCTACCACCCTCCGACTTGGTGTCCATCATGACCTATCCACCCTGGGCTGGCTGGTTTACCCAACCAGCCAGCCCTATTCCCACTCTGACACTTCAATAAGGGACAGGGGGTGATTAATACTTCCTGGGCCAACGCTTAGCCCACATCCCGCAGGCTCACACCTGCTCTTAATGGACATCCTCCATGTTCTTCCTAATTGCGGGGGAGGGAGCCTTTTGAAAATGGGCACCAGTGACCCAAGGCTCTGGCTCAATCCGCTTCTCAAATAATAAACACGAAAGCAGAGACATTTGTCACCACTTGGGCTGTTGCTGGGGCATTATAATACCCCTGTGTGGGGCCACATCCCAGGGGGCATTTGAACTATGGATAGCCTCTCCTTTCTTAGCTCCACCTTCAGATTGTGTTTCTGATTTTGTTTGTTTGTTTGGGTCTGTTTTTATTCACCATTCACCGTGCCCCAGTTTGCTCTGAGGCTTTGGTATGAAAAGCTGCTGCTGAGATAAGAAGTAGATAGAAGTGGGATTTCTCCCAACGTGGAGGGGGTCTCCAGATGCCCTCCGTAAGTCCACGTGGGCGGGAGCAGGACCACCCTGCTGAGGCCAAGAGAAGCTTTCAAAGGGAAGAAGGGGGTGCAAAGGACAGTGACAGGTCAGAGGCTTCCCGCCTGGTCTCTGCTCACACGGGTCACCTGGGCACATTAGGAAGAGGCACCCACTTCCACTGGCGGGTTGCACAGTGGAGAGTGAAAAGAGAGAAGAGCCAGGGCTCCCTGCTTTGGGCTGACAGCCCCCTAGTCAGAGGGCAAGGCTGGACAAACCAGATGGGAACTGGACCACAGGCCCGGGGGGAACCATCCCACACAGCCATACCTGCAAGGGCCCAACTGGGCCCTACCCCACCCACCCCTGGGCTTCTCCCTCAAGAGAAGCTAATGGGTCCCCTAGCCCAACACACCCATCCTGGAGTTGAAGCTCCTCGTAAACTCTTGCCGCAAGTGTGAAACATGTCCTGCTGGTGGAGGGCCGGGTGACTCTTAATGATTATGTATTGGTTCGGTTTCAAATAGAACTTTCCTACCCAAACTGTGTGCACACAATAAGAGCACAGACAATATGCCTCGTCGAACACTGAATGTCCACGTGTGCCACTGCTTTTCTCACTTAGAAATACGTTTTTAGGTCACTTCTGTTGGTTCACAGAGAGGGGAAAAATTGTAAAAGTGGTACAGTGATTGAACTGTGACCCCCAAAACGCTATGTCCAAGTCCTAGTCTGCACAACCTGTGACCGTAGCCTTACTTGGACAAAGAGTCTTTGCAGATGTCATTAAATTAAGACTGAAAGTGAGATCAGCCTGGCTTTAGGATCAGCCCTAAATCCAAGGACAAGTATACTTATAAGGGAAAAAGAGGGGGAGATCTGATTCACAGAAATAGGCAGAAGCTGGAGAGATGCAGCCACCAGCCAGGGGACAGCTGGAGCCACCCAAAGCTGGAAGTGGCAGGAAGGCCCCTTCCCTAGAGCCTTTGGAGAGAGTGTGAGACAACTGGCCTCCGTAACCGTGAGAAAATTAATTTTTGTTGTTTTAAACCACCAAGTTTGTGGCAATTTCTTCCACAGCCGCAGGAAACTAGTACAGGTGGTGGCCAAGTGGGGCCCCGGCTTCAGTGGCTGTCCCCTGTCCCCCACTGGTCCCAGTGCACACTGGCCCATCTGGGCTCCAGCTGCCTGCTCCAGAGTCTGCATTCTTGCCCCTGGGCCCTCCTCACCCCTCCCCAATCCAGCAAGCCTCAGTTCTATTCTCCCTACCTCTGCATTTCCAGACAAAGCCCTGTGTCTCTCAAGAAAACTCCCCCTAGGGGTCCCTCCCCCAACACTGACCTTGTCCTCTACCAACAACAGAAACACTTATTACCACATGCCCCACACTCACTTGGCACTCAGCACCTGCCTGTTTTTATGCAGGTATGCTTATCGTGCTCCGCAGATAGTAACAATCAACATCTATCAGCAGCAGCAGAGTCTCCTGGCGCCTGCACACGCACACTGAGCCACTGGGTAAGTAAAACCTTTATCCACGGCCTCGCTGTGTGGACACAGATCCCAAGGGGGCAGCTACCTGACCTGCTGTGATTGAGCAAAGGGTGAAGAGATAGTCCACCGGTCCAGACTTCACCCTGTACCACAGCAGGGTTATTTCTCTCCTCTTCAGTGCACAGCACAATGCTTAGGAATATAAACATGGCAACTGCCGTGAGCTTCCAGCAGCCTGATTTAGCCCTCTTTAAGGCACTGGGGAGAGAGCTGGTGGGAAGGTTCTGCCATGTGGGACAACTGGAAGCTTTCCAGTTGGTTCTGCCAGGGGGTGGGTATCACCCATGCAACCCCTTGGGCAGTTCCCTTGGCTGTATCTATTTGAGAAGAAGGAAAGTCATGGAGTTGAAGATATGGGCCACAGAAGTGAAGAAAGGATCAGCTGGGCTCCCTGGGGCCTTCGGGCTACCACCCTCCATCTCATCCCAGCCTCCCCGACACCATCTTAAACCTCCAGGGTCCTAGCAAAAACAATGCTTTTCCTGGCCAACCCACAGAGCAAATACTTACCTTGATTTAAATTCTCACTGAGAAACAAAAGACAAATCCCTGTCCTTGCCTACAGGAGGTGGGGGGGCACGGAAGAGCCATCTGCCTGCAGGGGGCACTGGAGCTACACAAAGGTGGAGGGCGAGGTGCCCTAGCCAACTATCCCCAGGGACCCAAACCTCAGCCATCAGACACAGCCCAGGGTCAGCCCTTGAGCCAAACAGACAATAATCAGCCACAAAAGGATGGTAATTCAGTCGCAGCTGGCCAGATGGGACCCTGTAGCCTCTCCACAGATGCTCTTCATTTTTCCCAGTCAACACCTTGCAAAAGAGGCTAAGGCTGGGCCCATTGCTGCTGGGGAGGAGGAGAAACGGAGGTCCGGAGAAGTACAGCGATTTGCCCTGGTTGCCCAGTGATTACAGCTGAAAATAGTCCTTTTTCCAGGAAGCACTCTGCATTAGTTCATCCTTGATTTATTTCTGAGCATGACAAAGCATGCACTTCTGACGCCTTCCATGTAAGCAATGTTCCCTGCAGCTCCCACGCGCACTTACTGCTCATCTTTCTATTCCAACACTGACTCTCGAGCCCCCCACTGACCCACTGCAGCCTCGCAATGGCCCTGTGGAAAGAATCAAGTGAACTTCCTTTTTAAAGATGGGGGAGAGTGGAGGCACCAAGAGTTCTGACTCATGTTCCCGAGGTCCTGGAGGAAATCTGTACCTGGCGTAGGGCCCAGCACACGGCCCAGCACATGTGGCCAAGACTGAAGGATGTGTCCTGACTTCTCCATATTCTCACCCAGTATTCTCCCCACTAGTTTGGGGTCACACTGTCCCATAGATGTCCCACCTTTGTCACCATACTTTCAGGCTCCTGAGGGCAAGGATGGCTGGCTCCCGCCCATCCTGCATCCCCAGCCTCTATGAGGGGCCTGGTGACTTGGTGTGCCCAGTTTGGATTTGGTTCCAAGAAGAACATTACCTGCCATTTCTGAAGAAGGCTGCCTGCAGGTCCCGCATGGGCCCAGCCCCTCGAGTGGGGGTAGGTGGCGGTCTTTTCTCAGCACTCTGGGAGGCCTGCGCGGTCCGCCCCCTTTCGGCTGGACGCGGCTCTGTAAGAAACTCCCTTTGTACCTGTGGGGGCAGAGAAGCACGTATGCAGTCACCTGCCCAGAGAATATGTGCCCAGAAGCCCATACACACACACACATTTACAAAGGCAACACTCAGACAATAAACCCCCAAGTCCCTGTGGGGTCAGCCTAGGAACTTCTCATCCTTCCTATCTCCTTTTCCCCTCTAGGACATGGAGACAATAGTGGGACCTAACCCGCAAGGCTGTTGGAGGGACGACATGAGATGGTGCACAGGAAGGGCTCTCCGTGGTACTTCGCACATGGTGCATGTTCACTAAAGGCTAGTGGCTGTAACGAAATCCTGAATCATACGCTCCTGGCCACTTACAAACATGCTGCCCCGTACAATTTCCGGCAATGACAGGAACGTTCTATAATCTGCACTGACTACGTGCAGCTATTGAGCATTTGAAACGTAGTTAGGGTTTCTGAGGAACTGAGTTTTACTTTATTTCATTTTAATGAATTTAAATAGCCACATGTGGCCAATGGCTACTGTATTGGACACTGCAGGCTTAGGGGATCTACTTTGAAAAAAAGGGCTTCTCCGGGCGCCTGGCTGGCTCAGTTGGTTAAGCGACTGCCTTTGGCTCAGGTCATGATCCTGGAGTCCTGGGATCGAGTCCCGCGTCGGGCTCCCCTCTGACCCTCCCCCTTCTCGCGCTCTCTCTCTCCTTCTCTCACTGTCTCAAATAAATAAATAAATAAAATCTTTTTTAAAAAAGGGGGGAGGAGAAGACCTTCCAGATCATCTGGTCTAACCTCTGAAACAGTATTCACATCCCAGTGGGAAGGCACGGCAAAGTTGAGAAAGAAAATACTGGAGCTTCTATTTATATTTACTTTCTTCTAGACTTTCTTGTATCTATTGCTGTATGCCCTTTATAATATACATAACACATTAGCAGAGTAGAACGTGTGTATAATTTCTGAGTAAACAATTACGCATTTATTAGGATATGCAACCAAACGTGCAACCAAGGACAGACCAGCTGCTCTAGTACCACCATGCTGCAGGCCAAAGAACCAAGACGCAGAGCAGCTGCTATGAGCCCTAAGACATGCAAGACCGTGCAGCCAAGTGGAGCTAGACCCTTGGTCCAGTGCTCTGTACCATTCTGCGACAGGCCACCACCAGCGGTCAGCTCTTTGAAGAGACCTTCGCACTGTTTCTCTCTGCCCAGTCAAGCCACAAGGTCGCCCTTTCTTTTACACACCTCAGTTTACAAGAATTCTACTCCCAGACGCTCTTCAGCCTCGGGGGAAGGTGAGGCGACCTGCTTGGCCATTTTCCTTTCTCATTTGTCTGAGCCTCCGCCAGCCTCCAGCTGCAGTCCCCTAATCACCAGGGCTGCTCACAGAATTTTAAATAAGACCTGCAGAATGCTGTATTCTCTTATGCGTTGATTTTTATGGCATCAAAACAATGAGAAAGTGACTTTGTGTTCATCTCTTCTGGAGTCCGTGTTTGGGAGAGGCCCCACTCACATGGCCCTGCTGCCTCCCCAGCCTGGGGCAGGCACTGTCATTCCCCAGGGGTGCCTGCTTTATTCTTTGAAGCAGTCGTTCCTGCTTGTCAAGTCCACAGGTTCCTGAAAGAGCTATCTGAGCCAGGGTAGGGAGCTAATCACAAGCCCCTGAACCAGTCAGGGCTCCTGCTGAGCCTGGGCAGAGAGTGATTTCAAAGTGTAGAGACAAAGGGAGGAAGTGGGGGGGTGGTATGGGGAGAATTCTTCTCTATGTGCTGCTGGGTCACCTTCACCCCCAAGTCAGTGGGTGACTGCCACAAGCTCTCAGGTGTTAAGAACGGCACAGTTTGAACTGCTGGGAGGTTTTGCTTTTGGAAAATGGCCTAGTGAGGGACTCTACTCAATGAAAACCGCTAGGAGACGGAGAGTCCCAGCCCCTAATTCAGGTCTTAGGAAGGTGGAATCTGGGCCCTTTTGCCCTTGGGGGAGCCCAAGTGTATCCTGGTCTTGCCTTCAAAGCAGTATTTTGTTGAGTCATGGGCAGGGTCTGTTGCTGCCTCTCCTGGGTTCTCTGAGAACATTCTGCACGCAGCCCCTCCTGGAAGATCCTCCTCTGGGCACGAACACACAGGGTGTGGCAGGGGAGGCAAGTCTGTCACCATCACCAGCCAAACAAGGCCTCCTGCAGTTTAGCAGATGCCACGAAGACCCATCTCAACCGCCTTCACCCGGCTGCATGTTGTGTTCCAGATGCTGGGGTGTTGGATGCTCATGACTCATATTTATCCCCTTCTCAAGAGGACTGCCCTGAGCTGATGGGAGCCATCCTGTCTGAAGAGGCCTGGGGGAACTTGCACATACCCCAGGAAGGGCCCTTAGCCACTGACTGACAGTTGCAAGGGGTGACAGCTCAGCCCCTTTCTCTCTGAGCAGGACAATCTCTGGTGCGTCTCACACTCCAGACCTTCCCACGGGATCAGGCAGGACTGGATACACAATGCCAAATTGTGCTTAGTCCTTTCTGTGCCTGTCCTGCTTCCCTCACTCCTAAAAGCCCTCCCTCTGTAAGTCACCTGTCCAAGAATGCCCATCTCAGGCTCTGCTTCTGGGGAGCCCGACCCCAGACACACGATTCAAGTGTTTCCCTTCTCCTCTGAGTCCCATTGGCGTATCTTCCCCAGAGACACTCACTCAAATATGTCTGACAAACATCCTTAAATACAAGGATCCTTATAAATACGTAGTGTCGCTCTTGTGCGTGACATTGTCCCACAAAGCCATTCTTTTTCTCACTGTAGTTTTACTGGAGGTTATCGTTACAATCGATCTAGGTTTCCGTATTTATGTCTAATTCACTGTGAGCTGACCCGTAGAGCGGTTCACAGGGTTTTTAATAACTGCCATTTAAAGTCCAGATTTTAAATATAACTCCTACACTCGGTGTACCCCCGCGCTCTCTGTCTCTCTCCAGAGGTCTTTCTTTAAGAGCCTGTGTTATTGACACTTACGTAAGATCAGCACAATGTTTTTGTTGATAGGCCTCATGGAAAACTGCTCAGAAAAAAGCCTTCTTACGGCACATCAGCTCCAGCACTGGTGACTGGCTGGCCAAGGTCAAGAACTCAGGAGACACTGGTTTTAACTAGAGTTCAGTGAGAAGCTCTTGAAAGGAGGCAGGGTGAAGTTTTTGTCATGTATCTTGAGGCTGGCAGAAAGTCACTGGCCACCCTGCCTACTCCAGCCACACCCTCCCCACCCCACACACATTCACTCCTCCTTTTATCAGCCAAGTCTGAGGGAAGGAAGGTGGATCCAAGGAGAGGGTCAGGCCCCTTCACATATTCTGGGGGGGGGCAGGGGGAGAGACATGTGCTGTTATACTGTTCCTCCCATTTGATCCTACAGGGAATAAGAAAGCAAAAGGAAGCAGAGTAGAGGCATGCAGACCTTCAGTATCCCACTAAGCAGGATGTAGGACTGTGGTCAAAGCCTCTAGTGCCTTGGTGAATGTGACAAATGTCTCAACCAGGTGTGGTGGCAGCCACCATATCTCTTACGTGTGTCTCCACCTCACCTCAGAGGTTGTGCCGTCATCCCTGAGAATGCTACCTCACTGAACAGGTAAACTGTGTCATGACTGAAGTGAGCAGACACATACCTCAGACAAACATCCACTTTAGAGGGAAAGATTTTATTCCCAGGACCCGGTTTACTCTCTTTCCCCCACTTTCAATGATTAACATAGATTTTAGGGTTTACCATGCAGGCTTCTCCCATGTGACCCCCAATCTCTTCCTTGCTCATTCTGATCCACTTGGGACTTCACAACTCATTGTTCCATTTGTCAGAAGCTTCCTAGAACAAGCGTTTCATGCTTCATACAGCACTGTACACAGTTACAAATTAATCAATAAAATCCAATTCCATGGTCCAGCGCTCGCTCTGGGCACACAGAGGCATAGTCCATGGGCACTCTGAATCTCTATGCCTCTAGTTAATGTCAGGGCAATTAGGCATCCAAGTATGAATTTTCTACATTTTTCCATTTCCACTCTGAAAATGGATCCTGCCTTTTCTAATCCCTCTCCTTTAGCTCATGTACTTTCATTAATGAAAACAGCCATTTTCATTACAGTGTGGTATTTGGAGTTGGCAACAAATGAAGAGACAAATGAAATCAGACGGTGGGCCCAGAAATAAACTACAGGTATAACTGGGAAGTTAAAATATAGCAAACAAATGAGGAAAAAAAGGTAAATTAATCCAGGGGTCTGTAAGCTTTTTGTATAAAGGTCCAGATAATAAATTTTTTAGATTTTACAGGTCCTATACCATCTCTACCACGTATTATCTATTTATATACATATATATATATATATAACCTTTTAAAAATGTAAAAACCGTATCTAGTTCACAAGGGCATATAAAAACAGATCAAAAGTCAAATCTGATCCATGGTCCATAGTTTCCCATATAGACAAAAGTAAAAATAAATCCTTCCTTACATTAATATAAACAGAACATAGGAGAATATGTTTTTGTGTTTGTGACACTGGGAGACTGAGAGTAAGGAAAGACCTCTGAGACAAGACCACAAAGTAATAATCATAAAGGAAAAGGCAGCTCCACTTGACTACATCAAAATACACACCTTCTTGGTGATAATAAGCCCGTCCCCACCAGTACAGTTGACTAGCTACTCTGGTTGCCTACCACTGTACTCACCCCTATATTGAAAACAACTAAAAATACAAATTAAAATATAAAAATGTTCAACACTTCTACATAAATGTGTTGATGTTCTGATTAGAAAGTGAGATATATTTAAAATAAAAAACCAACTGAAAACTGAAACCTGAAAAGGTAAGAGGGCTTTCTATTGGGAGAGCATCTGTCAAACCAAGTGAGCTTGAGCTTCCATTTGTATGGTCTGGTGGGGTGCAGGGAGCAGGATTCAAACCCAGAATCCACCCCAGGTGCAGATCAAGTGGGAGACCTAACCTCTACTCCTGCAAAAGCTGAGACCTCA